CAGGCTGAAAATGGGGCGCTTCTCCCTAATGGGGGGGGGAGGAGGGGATAAGGAAGGCGGGGATTGGGGAAGGCGGGGATTGGTGTGACTGGCATTGGGTGAGGTGACTGATTTGCGGTGATAACAGTTCTCTGAGCTGAGGTCGAGCTGCTCTGTCTACCAGGAGGGGGCATGGGGTCTGAGGAGCCGGGATGGCGACAGGGGAGTGAGTCCTTGGTAGGTGACTGGGGTCATGGCCAGGGCACGAGCCTGGAGGAGCAGGGGCAGGGACCAGGGAGAGCTGGAGGGAGAGAGAGGAGGCGATAGCAAATGCGGGTGCAGCAGCGTCTCAGGGAGGGGGAGAAGAGAGGAGGATGGAGGGGAGGAGGGAGGGAGGGGAGAGGAGGATAGAGGGGAGGAGGGAGGGAGGAGAGAGGAGGACGGAGGGGAGGAGGGAGGGGAGGAGCACGGAGGAGCAGCGGCACACGCCACACGCCACACGCCACGGGTGCCATGCCTCTGGGAAGGGAAGGAAGGCGGCGCGCACAGAACACGAGTGGGGGGACGGCCACGATACTGAGGAGGAAAAGGGAGGGAGGAAAGCCGGGGGCATGGAACCCAACACCAGCACATAATGAGTTATCTGCTCAGGCTGCTGCCCAGAACACCAGGCTGGGACTTGCACAGACGTTTATTTTCTCACGGTTTTGAGGCTGGAAAGTCCAAGATCAAGGTCCCGGTGGGGCTCGGTGTCTGGCCTGCAGGTGGCCGCCTGCTCACGGTGTCTTCGCCGGGCAGGGGGAGCCAGGTCGCTCTTCCTCTTCCTGTAAAGAGGAGGCCCCACCCTGAGCGCCCCCTTTAACCTCAACGACCCCCTAGCGCCCCTCTCCCCAGGGACAGTCACTTTGGGGGGGAGGGCTACTCATGAATTGGGGGAGGGGACACAATTTGGTCCTTAGCATGTGAGCTAAAATGCACGCAGACGATGTGTCTATAAAGGCCCTCATTCTGGCGGTTGCCTGTGGAGGTAGCGGGTGGGACTGGTGGATGGAAATAAAAGGGAATCAATTTATCAACTGACCAATCAAGAGAGGCCATTGTGCAGACCCGGAGGTGGCACGTGGCATGGACCGAGGCGTGTGGGAAGGCACCTGAGCTTGTGTGTGTGTGTGTGTGTGTGTGTGTTTAATTGATTTCAGAGAGGAAAGGAGAGGGAGATGGAAACATCAGTGATGAGAGAGAATCATGGATCGGCTGCCTCCTGCACGCCCCACGCTGGGGACCGAGCCCACAACCCAGGCCTGTGCCCTGACCAGGAATAGGACCCTGATCTCTTGGTTCCTAGGTCAACGCTCAACCACTGAGCCACGCCGGCCGGGCGGCCCCTGAGGTTTTAAAAATTGGCCGCCTCTGTGTGCGTGGTGCGTGGTGCGTGGTTTTGGGCCAAGCGTGCATTTTGATGTCAAGTTGCCCTTTTCTTCTACAGTTTCCCAGGATCTCGCTCTCCGCGGCGGCACCTGAAGTGCAGGATGAGCCTGCCGAATGCCACCGCCGTGACCCCGCTCCTGGCCAGGCTGTGGCGGGAGCCCCCCCACCCGGGC